TTTCTCTGACTGCCTTATTTCACTTAGCATAATACTCTCCAGGTCCCTCCATGCTGTCTCAAAGGGTAAGAGATGCTTCTTTTTTACAGCTGCATAGTATTCCATGGTGTAAACATACTACAGTTTTTGTATTCATTCATTTACTGATGGACACTTGGGCTGTTTCCAGATCTTAACTATCATAAATAAAGCTTCTATGAACATAGGGGTGCATATGTTCTTTCTTATTGGTGTTTCAGGCTTCTTAGGATATACTTCTAGAAGTGGGATCACTGGGTCAAATGGCAGTTCCATTTTTAATTTTTTGAGGAAATTCCACACTGTTTTCCATAGTGGTTGTAACAGTCTGCATTCCCACTAACAATGTACAAGGGTTCCTTTTTCTCCACATCCTCACCAGCACTTGTTTGTTGATTTATTGATGATAGCTCTCTGACAGGTGTGAGGTGGTATTTTGTTATTGTTTTAATTTGTATCTCTCTGATGATTAGTGACATTGAGCATTTTTTCATGTCTCCTGGCCATCTGTATGTCCTCTTTGAAGAAGAATCTATTCAGGTCTTCCGCCCATTTTTTAAAAAATTGGACTGCTTATATTCCTTTTGTTGAATCATATGAGTACTTTATATATTTTGGAAATTAACCCCTTATCAGATGTATCATTGACAACTATGTTCTCCTATATAGTGGGTTCCAAAAACTTGTATGGAACCAAAAAAGACTCCTAATAGCCACAGCAATCTTTAGAAAGAAGAACAAAGTTGGAGGGATCACAATACCAAATACCAAACTATATTACAAAGCTATTATAATCAAAACAGTATGGTACTGTCATAAGAACAGGCATATATGCCGAAACCGGTTTGGCTCAGTGGATAGAGCGTCGGCCTGCAGACTGAAAGGTCCCAGGTTCGATTCTGGTCAAGGGCATGTATCTGGGTTGCGGGCACATCCCCAGTAGGAGATGTGCAGGAGGCAGCTGGTCGATGTTTCTCTCTCATCGATGTTTCTAACTCTCTATCTCTCTCCCTTCCTCTCTGTAAAAAATCAATAAAATATATTTTAAAAAATAAAAATAAAAAAGAACAGGCATATAGATCAATGGAATAGAATAGAGACCCCAGAAATAGACCCATGCCATTATGGCCAATTAATATGTGACAAACGAGGCAAGAGCATACAATGGAGTAAAGGGTGTCTCATTAATAATTGGTGCTGGAAAAATTGGACAGCTACATGCAAAAAAATTATACTAGACCACCAATGTACATCATACATACCAAATAAACTCAAAATGAATAAAAGACTTAAATGTAAGTCATGAAACCATGAAACTCTTAGAAGAAAACAGGCAGTAAAATCTCAGACATCTCACATAGAAAAATCTTCACCTAGGTCAAAAGAAATAAGAGAAAAAATAAACAAAGGTGACGCCATCAAACTAAGAAGCTTCTGGACAGCAAAAGAAACCATCATCAAAATGAAAAGGGAACTAACTGTACATTATCATGACTTTGGAATTAGGCTATGGCTTCTTGCATATGATACTAAGTGCCCAAGTGTCAAAAGAAAAAAAGAACAGATGAATGGGACGTTATAAAAATTAAAAACATTTTGTTTCAAAGGACATCATCAAGAAAATGAAAATATAATGTACAGAATGGGGGACATTATTTGCAAATCATGTATTTGTTAAGGTTGCATTATCCAGAATAAACAGAACACTTATAGGTCAATAGCAAAATGAATACCCAATTAAGAATCTGGAAAAAGTCATATAAATGGCCAACAAGTATATAAAAAGATGCTCAACATCATTAGTTATTAAGGAAATGCAAACCCCAAACACTATGAGATACCACTTTACACCCACTAGGATGACTATAATAAGAAAATTGCAAGTATTGGTAAGGATGTAGAAGAACTAGAATCATTATATATTGCTGTTGGAATGTAAAATGGTTAGCTGCTGTGAAAAACAAGTCTCGTAGTTCCTCAGAATGTTAAACATATAGTTACCATATTGGCCCAGCAATTCTATTCCTAAGTATATACACAAACCAAATGAAAATACATGTCCACACAAAATCTTGTACACTAATATTTAGAGCAGCATTATTCATAATAGCCGGAGTGGAAACAATCTAAATGTCTATCAACTAATAAATGGATACAACAAAATGTAGTATATCCATACAATGGGATATTATTAAGCCATAAAAAGGAATGAATTTCTGAGAAAAGCTACAACATGGATAAACCTTAAAAACATTATGCTAATGACAGAAGCCAGGCACAAAAGGCCAAATATTATATTTTATTTCTATAAAATGTTCAGAATAGCACATTAATAGAGAAAGAAAGATTACTGATAGCTAGAGGTTTGAACAAGGAGGAGGGAGTGAGTGCTAGTGGGTACAGGGTTTCTTCTTGTGCAGATGAAAATGCTCTGAAGTTAAATAGTGATGATTTGTACATAAACTGTGGCTATACTAAAAAATTGCTGAATTTTGCACTTTATAAAATAGCCTGGGAGGGGGGTGAGAGCAGGGAGGAGGGAGTCAATGGGGGAAATGGGGGACATCTGTAATACTATCAACAATAAAGACAAATAAAAAATAAAAGTCTGGATTTCATCATATCTGAATTTTATTTTTTACAAAAATTTAGAGAGCAACAATAGGTATCAGTTAATGCTGGGCTATCCAATACAGAAGCCAATAGTGATATGTAACTAATAAGCACCTGAAATGTGGCTCATCTGAATTACAATGTGTTTTAAGTGCAGAATACATATTTAATTTCAAATTAGGTAAACTATCTCATTAATAAATTTTAACCTTTTATTATTTTAACCTTTTTGAAATAATATTTGGATGAATTACTTTAAATAAAATACATTTTAAAAAATAAGTTCACCTTTTTAAATGTGGGTATGGAAATTTTAAACTTACGCATGTGGTTTACCTTTTTATTCTCATTGTATTTTTATAGGCCAGTGCTTGCTTAGAAGGATAATACATGAAACCCACCACAGTTTTCTTTGGTACACACATAGTTAACACTGGACCTTGTATTGACGTGGCTCACAGAAGGAGGCTTGTGAGGTCAGTTGGGAATATTGATTTCTGTAGTGGTGGATGGGATGCATGCAAAGGGGAGAACAGGAACAATGCTGATTTTTAATGGTAAAAAAAATAAAGAGAGCTAGGAATGCAAGATTACTTTTTTGTTTTATTTATTGGCTAAAATATAATTTGGGGAATCAAGGTTACTAGGACTAAAATATTTATGGCTGGACAACATATAGTGATCAGTAAGGAAATCTCTAAAACTCATGAATACATGTTATGCTTATACTGCTAAACCATGGGAGGCTATGCTTTGTTCAAAGAAACCAATTTCTTCTTCTCAGTGAAGTAGAGAGGGAAATAAAATGTTTGGCTACTACATTGAGTCCTTTCAGGCGTTTATGCCTCCTTGCAATTGATTTAGAAGTTTGCTGAGGAAATATTTTTATATCCTCTATGTCAGGTGCCTCGTAAGTAGAAAGCCTAGGGGTATAAAGGCTGTCCAGGGGTGTCCTGACCCAGGAGTAGGGTGTACTATTATATAAAGAAGACATAAAAGGCAAAAGTTGGTGAGTGTATCCCCAAGCTTTCAGAACCCACAGCACATTGCTTGGCAGACCACATGATTTAATGGACTATTGATGAAACAGAAGAAAACAAAAATACATTAAAAAATCTAAAATTTAAAGAAGTTGCTATTTAAGTACTGCATAGTAGGTAGATGTTGGTGAAGACATCTTTAGCCTTCAAAATCCACATGGGTTCACCTTGGCTTAGGGGCTATTGTTTAAATAAAAGAGGAAAACAACAGTACATTTCAAATACTAGAAAAAGGGCCACCATGCTTGTGTGTAGTTCTAAGACACATAACAGAAGATTAATAGTTCACATGGCTTCAGGAAGTTAGTAGTAGATGGGGTTGGCAAAAAAAAGTGGGTAAGGCAAAAATGCCCACTGTTTTGTGAAAAGAGAGCCAAAATGCCAACAGCCTCCTGCAAAGGCAAGCTTCCACATAGAAGGGTCTGGAGGTTTGACTTATGTTTTGGGGATGCAGTATTCGCAGATTAAAACATGTATGGCAGCAAAATTTGAAAATTTGAAGCCACCTGAAAAATGGATGTTTCCTATTGTCTCTAGTTAACTGCAAAGTAATATTTTTTATAAGATAGCAATTCTTTCCTTTTACTATTTAAGGAAGATTTTTTTTCAAAAAAGGTGAGGATGCTGCTATAGGGAACCATCCCTGTCATTTATATCTTCTAAAGAAGGGTCAACCCTGCTTGATCCAGCGGACCAACCTATCTTTCTGTTTGAGGGTATCTCTAAAGAGACACGCTAGGAAAAAAATCAATCTTTCATTTTAAAAGAAAAAATTAGAAAGAAGGGGCTGGTTGGGGGTTATGACACTCAAACTTACCAGTCATTTATATCCACATATGAATGATCTTTTGTTTATTGAAGACAAGTTTTTATTTTTTAATGTTTGGGGGAAATGCTTGAAATAAAAGCCTGGTGTTGAAAAGAGAAAGAGTATGACAGTCTTGAGGCAGAGGAAGGTCATCTTTACCAGACTGGAAAGGACAGCATGTGCTTCTATTTTAGGATTATAGGAAACTGTGGTATCAGTGAGGACATTTCTAAAGAGGCAATGAAGAAAAAACAACGAAGCCCCCGCCTACATATCCTATCCCATACACAGGAAAAAACACTCCAAGGGCCTCTCATATACAGCCCTTCAGTCATGTGAGAGACTTGCACATTTTTTGTGGACGTGTGTGTGTGTGTGTGTGTGTGTGTGTGTGTGTGTGTTTCATTTGAGACAAGGCTAGGAGGAGTGTGATCTAAGCAGACAGTAAAAGTAGCAAGAGAAAAAGAAAGAGGAATGAAGAGTGAGGAAAGGCTGTTGCTTAGAGGCTCACTCTGGGAACAGCAAATCATTGTTAATTACAGAACTTTGAGGCATTGGACAGGGAGTCTCCAAGCTGCTGCGATGCCCCACCATGTTTATACCTTGGCTGACTCCCAAGACTTAAGGGCTCTTCTCTAAATGGGAGAAAACAAACACAAGTTTCCAAAAGTGAAGACAACCAAGAAATGTCCCTTTAACGGATAATGCTTGAGAACCATCACACTTTTTTTTTATGCGAGGATACTAAATAGAAGATTTTTTGGCTTAAGTGGCTCAAGAAAAAGACCTTGTGGGTTCATCAGGGAAACTGTTTCCTGAAGTCGTGGTGAAGTACAAGAAATGTCAATCAAGAAACTGGCTTCTAGTGAATCATCGAGATGAAGGCAAAGGGCCTTTTGGAAAGGTAAGCTTCCTGCTTAGGGTGTCCATGGGCTAGAACCAACGTCAGGGGATCAATGGGCTCTAATTATAAAAGGGGCAGAATATGTACCCATGTTTTCTTCAGCTAACATAAGGTGTTGTCCTCCATTAAAAGATAAAAATCATTTCCTCCAACAAAGAAAGGAAAATAAAACAGAAATGCAAGTAAAAAAAAATAGGAGACTATCACACCCAAAACTATCAGTTATTGATTCTTTCATCTGACAATTTTAATTTCTGGAGTCTAAGTTGTTGTTTACAAGGGGCAAAACTCAGGGTAAGGTGCTGGCAACAGGTAAGCTCAAAAGGGAGAAGGCTGCCCACAGTAAAGTTGGCTTGTTCAATGTGATTTACGCTGAGCAACCATAGCACCACAGGGCACCTACCTTCAACTGCCAAGGGGGGAAAACAAACAACAGAAACAAATATAAAGGAAACACAAAGCATAAAAAAGAGAAAGGATCTAAAATATACTTTAAAAAAATTCCATCCATTTAGGATGAGAATGTATGAAGCCCACCAATCTTGGGTGTGGTAGGGTTCCAGGGCATGCATTTATGGCTCAAGTGATTTAAGAGGCCTTGGAATAGGGTGTCAGTCAACATCACTGTGTTCCCCACACCAAGCAGATGGGGAGTACATGTCATCGCCTAGCATGATGTGTGACTGTTCTGCACCTTCTTATTGCCTCCTGAGCTTCACTTCCCTGATAATTGTCTTCATCTATACTTTTTGGCTATCATTCCGCCTCACAGGTCTACATTAGGCTCTGCCAGATCAGTTAAGCCTGATTTGTGTGAGTAAAGTGAAGAATATTTCTATGTACCTGCTGCCTATGTCCCTCAATCAGAGGGGTAAAGGAAGACAATGGGGGAGCTTCCCACAATAAGTCCATGGGATAGCTCTGCTGGCCATCTCATTTTTCTATGAAAAAGTCATGAGCCTCATTGTCCTTTCCTACCCTCTGTACCAAATCAGTTCTCCCGACTGACCACACTCATGCCACATTTTCCCAGCAACTTGGAACCTTGTCACTCTTTGGTGGAATTTCTTTACCAGTCAGTGTTGCCCTAGCAACATCCAGGCCTCTCTCTCAGGTTCCTCTGGCCTACTATGCTCATGGTGAGAGATCTGTTTTTTCTATCTTCTGATGGAGGCTAGGGGCTTCCATTGAGATCCTGGACTGGTGGAGAAGTAAGGAAAACCAGTACAAAATACTACTGAATTACACAACGACCTCCTCTCTGTATTCTTTAAACTGATCTTAGCCTCCAAAGCACTCTCACTGTAGCCTAGATCTCAGGCATGCCTCTTCCCAGCATCTCAACTGAAAAGTTGTGGCCATGGCTCCTTGAGGCTCCTTGTACATTATCTAGAATTTGTGTATCCAACCACATGTGTGCCCAGAAGGGAGAATTGTCCTGAAACAGTCAGAAGGCTGGACCCAGGGAGTAGCAATGCACTGTTATTATTTATTTATTTATTTATTGTCACTTGAAGATATTTTTTTTCCATTGATTTTTAGAGTGGAAGGGAGGGGGAAGGAGAGAAAGAGAGAGAGACAGTAATAGGAGAGAGCCACATTGATTGGTTGCCTCCCGCACACACTCCTACCATAGCTGGGCATTGAACCTGCAACCCAGATACATGCCCTTGAGTGGGAATCGAACCCATAGCCCATTTGGTGTATGGGATAATGCTCTCGCCACTGAGCACACTGGGCAGGGCACAATGCACTATTATTATTATTTTTTAATTCTTTATTGATTAAGGTGTTATATATGTCTCCTTTTTCCCCCATTGTCCCCCAGCACATGCCCTCACCTCCCTTGTGTCTGTGTCCATTGGTTATGCTTATAATGCACTATTATTTAAAGATAACAGAACAAGTAGATGTTGATGAGGGAGAAACTTTCATGACTAACAGGTTTTCACCTTGACCAACCACATGACTGAAGTCCTGCTGTTGAAAGAGAAGTTTTAAAAAGTATATAATATGAAAAATATAGTAAGTAACTATTAGTATCCTTTAATGGGATAACCGCTGAAGGCCACCATTCCTTTGTGTGGTGCCAGGATACTTAGAATAAGACTTTATAACTTAAGTGGATAATGAAGTGAGAATACAAATTTTTGTGTTGGGGCAAGGAAGAGGTCTGCCAAAGGTCTGGCTTCCAGTCAATAAAAAAAGCCAAAATGCAGAGAGCCTCTTGGAAAGGCAAACTCCTTGTTTAGAGGGTTCCTTGGCCAGGCCTGAAGTTAGGGTTCAAGAAGGAGCAGAATGCTCAGATTAAAACACTTAGGGCTCCAGCCAGGTTGGCGTTGCTCAGTGGTTGAGCATCGACCTATGAGCCAGGAGGTCACGGTTCAATTCACGGTCAGGGCACGTGCCCGGGTTGCAGGCTCCATCCCCAGTGTGGGGCGTGCAGGAGGCAGCCGATTGATGATTCTCTCTCATCGTTCATGTTTCTATCTCTCTCTCCCTCTCCTTTCCTCTCTAAAATCAACAAAAATATATATTAAACACACACACACACACACACACACACACACCCCAAAACAAGACACTTAGGGCTCCGGAATATGCAGTCATCCATGAGAAAATGTTTAGGACTTCATAAGGAAATATGTCTAATGCATGATGCACACTTGTAGCCAACGACATGTTAGCATTCTTTGTTTTAAATAAAGATAAGAATCTGTCCCTTTCCCAAAAAGTGGAAAAATGAAAGAAGGGGAGTCTACCACATTGAGACTTCCAAGTTGTACATACTTTACATTGCAAAGCCCAAGAGTGCCAAGTCTGTCCCAAGGAGTGTCCCTTGGCCTGACCCAGGGAGCAGAATGCGCTATTACTTAAAGATTAAAGATCTGGTTAGAAAGTCTTTAAGTTTTTAGGACCCAAAGGGATTCACCTTGACTGATAAAACAAAGGAGATATTTTTTAAATAAAAGAAAAGAAACATTTTTAAAACTATATAAAATGGCAACAGAAAGTATTGATGCCAGGGAACACTCATGAAGTCTACCACTCCTTTGTGTAATGCCAGGACCTGTCTGAGAAAATATTATAGATTGACTGTCTAATATGGTGAGGCCTGAGGAATCTCTCAGAATACTGTGAATCAGGGGGAGGGGGTAAAATGAAGAAGCTATCCAAGAGCCTGGCAATATTGAAGACACAGAAGGTCTCCTGGTTGAGCAGCTGGCCTAGAATAGGCAGTAAGTGGTAAGGAAGTCGCTTAGCCTTAACCTATCTGACCTGTTCTGAATGCTTGCTTTAGCAAAGCTGAAGTGATCATCCTCTGTTAAAAGATAAATAATAGCTTCCTCACACTAAAAAAGGAAAATAAAGAAAGTAATTAGCAAACAAACACTGCATATCATTAAAAAGTCACTAAAATGGGGGCTACCACACTGGAACCTACCAAAGATGTTTTTATTTCCTGATAATGTCATTTGTTTTTGTGTCTGTTTGTCTCTTGTGAAAAGCTACCAATTGTTTATTTTCAGTGATACAATATTTTTTGAGAGCTTCCTTTGTTCCCAAGGGGAAACATTGGAAAACATTCCCTACCCCTGCCCAAAGGAAAAAACAAAACAAAACAAAAATAAAATAACAAAATAAATGGCAATAAGAAAAGCCAGAGGGAAAACCAGGGGCTTATACACACAATAAACCCTACACTTTGTATAAACTCTACACTTTGTTTACTTGATGTATATATTGAAAGGGTCATTTTTATAGAAATTGCTTGAAGAAATAAAAAGAACACCTGGAGACTGGGCATTTGGGAATCCCACAAAGGGGAAAATCAGGTTATATGCATCAAGGATCAGCTGCCCTTTTGGGAAACATGAAGAAAAGCTGATGCAAGACTCAGTTAAAGATACAGTCCTTCTGTGAGTCAAAAATGCGATTGTCATCTCTTTTTCTGGGCTAAATTGGAAGCTCTGAAAAGGCAGTGGTTGCTTTGAATAACATCCCATGTTTTAATGATTTTTAGCCAAGTTTAGACCAGATGACCTTCAGGACAATTGGCCCACTAATCAGCAGGATGCCTCATGATTATTTGATGTCATTCAGCTCTCTATTTTCACACAAAACTCTATTATTAGCCTTATTTCTATCAAAGAGCCACAGGAACAAAGCCAGCTATGGCCAACCTGAATATTTGCATTTACAGGAAGACGCTCTTCTGAAAAGAAGGAAGTCAGTGAGAACTGAAGCTGGCTGTGGTGGGGAGATGAAAGTGGAAGTGCCTGTCACTGGTAGAATGATAGCTGCAGCAGTGAGCTTTATTGCCACTGCCCTGGCTTGTGAGTGGCCTTCCCTACAGGCAGTGTTCTCAGAGATTACTTTGAAGTATCCCACTCAAAATAATTGCCCTGGAGCAGCTGTGGAACACAAGCACTCAGATATAAGCAACAAGGTTCATTCTAAAAGCAGACTGTTATATTAGTTCAGAGGACCTGATTTTCAGATAAGCTGATTACAGATCTAGCAAGAGTACTTATTTTATAAATTCCCTTCCCTATCCTCACAGAAAATACTTCAAAGACCTACACTAGCCTAGACCTCCACCAGCCTTGAGTACAGCCAACTCGGGATTTTAAGGTCACAGAGAACTCTTGGAAAAAGATGAGATGAAGGAGGTTTAAAGGTTTGAGAGTCCATTAAGCTCCATTCCAGTTCAGTAGTGAGAAATATCAAAGACTCTTAAAAAAGGACTTGAGTTTTTGAAGCACCTTCTCATTGGTCAGAAGTGGTTGCGTAGATTCTCTGATATTCTACAAACCTCATTCTCTGAGGGTGCCAGACACACCCCTGGGTGGCATAGAACCTGTCCATTAGTACACTGAATTTACAGGAAACATAATAAAATACCTTAATATACATACCTAACTTCTAGAACAGCGGTTCTCAACCTGTGGGTCGCGACCCCTTTGGCAGTCGAACGACCCTTTCACAGGGGTCGCCTA